CGAAAAAGCGCAACATAAACATACCTCGACCAGCGCCAGAACCACACTCACACACAAAACACGCACATACACAAAAATCACGTCACACACAAAAATTCGTCAGCTGTTCGTAGCAAGGACGCGCGGGTCGTCGACCGCGCAACTGGTATTTTTTATCAGTAGACGCGCGCGCGCAGGCCGCGGGCTCCGCGACGAATGAAGAGCCTTAGAACTATTTCAAATTTCTCTAATCCTCTCGCACAATTCTAGTTAGGATTGCATTGGTGTGATTTGCGGAAATGGCATGATCGTTCATTTTTTTTGCGAACCGGCGTAGCGGGTATATTGATACTTTATGATGGCTGCATTGCTTTAGCTTTTTACGCGTCGCACCGGTGGCATTTTAAACTAAAAACTAATCGGTACATACTTACTAAATCGGTCGCTGTTGCTACCTCACTTTCCAGGCTCGAAACACAATAAAAAACACAATCTACAAACCATTGAAATCAGCTTCTGAAATTATAACGATTTCGTACACATACTGAGGTGAAAAATACTTTTAGAAATAATTTAAGCACATATATCACAAAATAAGTTACCTTCTATAATAAGTTTTTCTTTAATAATCTGAAAGCACTTAAATTAAAATTTTATTGCAATTATTTATTACCTTGTTTTCACGAAACATTACGAACATTATCTAGTGTTAACATTTTGTTGTTTACTTTTCTTGTACTCCTATTTCCCTATGAGCCGAGAGTGTTGTGCCGTCTAGCGTAACTGATGAAGCACCACATCGACCTAGACCAACCTACATGACGATCACCCAATCGCACGGTGAATAGAAAAATTATCGAACCATGACACAGGTCAGCCAATCAGTTGCATTCTACAGCTTATTATAGCTTTTGTTAAATAGTGGGGAGTTAATAATTACATACTTTAACTAGCAAAAGCTAGTATAGATAATATAGTATAAATTTAGACAAAGCCATGGACAAAAGTCCTTGGATTTTTCGAAATGGGAAACTAAATGTCGCTTTTTAAAGACTGCGTTAAAAATAAGCACAAAGGTGTTTTTGGTGAATTTCTATCGTTACTAGATAAAACAACGAGTATAATTTTAATTAATTTTTTACTTATTTTAACACGAACAAATCTTAAGTAGTGCCTATAGTTTACGTATGTAATGCACATTTAAATAAAACACTATTAATGGTTGAAAACGCGAAATATATTAGTTAGTGTTTATTTTAACTATTGCCCGAAGTACCCTTCCGTGACCACGAAGTGACAAAGCATCCGAAATATTCCACGTTTTAAACCGTTAAAGAAGGTTCGTTTCGATTTTCGTTCAAGTTTCGTTTTATTTAAGCGAATGAATCTTTTGAAAATGTAGTTTTATGTTTAGTTTGCCATATGTGTAAATGCACTTACACTACTTACATAAATATTTATAATCCTAATATATTTACATTACACAAGCATCGTTTACGTATTCATTATTACAAACACGCTGAACTCTTAAAGAAATTCTTATCTTAACAGATTAATATGCACTAATTAGACCACGCCTAAGGAGTTTTATACACGAGAAGTTTTAGAAAACAAGTTTTTAAATTCAACTAGCATTACTGTTTTACAACTTACCTAGTAAAGTTCGTATTATTGATTCAAAACTTAGAAGGTTAATTATTAATATTATTAAAGTAAAAACTTATATAAACACGTTATGCACTTTTTGAATAAGTAAAAATGTTAAACTCGAATATTGATACAATCCCTCATCGAAAATTTGTGGGGCAAGTGATAAGCAGACAATATAAAACGTTGTTTGTGAACAATAGTACAAATATAGTAATTTTATAATTATAATTAAGAAAATTCATGTTCATTTTATATTACTTTTAAATTATATTCTCTAACCATTTCAAAATATAAAATATTCACATTGTTAAAGTTAAATACTATACATAGTTTATGCAAGTTCACATTTAAATCAAACACTTGAACGGTTTAAAACGCGAAGTATATTAGTTATACAGCAGCCAAAACGTCGGGCCGTAGTTAAAAAATATATATTGAATAAAGGCCGTTGTAAACCATTAAAGCGTTTTAGTTAAATGTTGATAATTACTTCTGCCCACGTTATTACTCGTGCAAAACTTTTTTATTAACTACCCTCTAGAATTTTTAACTTATTTTCTGTCAACAGGTTTCTGACAGAAGTCATTCGTCACAAGAGGACCATCGTTCTCAACTAATGTAGGTACCTATATAATGTTATAGCGGATTTAATTTAATTTTCTACATATGTATTGTTTTGTGTATTTGTTCATCAGAAGTATGAAATAAAGAATGTTAAATTTGATATTATAAGTACATTACTTGTTAGTTTACGCATCACTGTACTGGTAAGTGCTGAAGTATGGCTTTTTCAAAAGTAGCTATATATGGGGTCTAAAATTGATTATAAATTTTAAAAAATACGACTGGAGCGGAACTTGAACCGGCAACCACAGCGTCCCGTGCTGTTGCTCGATATTGAGCTACCGAGTCATATTCCGAGAAGTTGGTGAGAGCAACAGCATGTAAAGCAGTGGAAACAGTTCGAGTCCTGCCCGAGTAGTATTTTTAAAAATTTATAATCGATTTTTAAAATATATAGGACTAACATGTAAAAAATATTAAAGGTTTTTTTTTTATATATAAGATGCGTAAATTTAGGAAACAGTAAATTAACAACCAAATGTGAGTGTTTTGAAGCGTCAATAAAAAGTTGTATTGCTTTTAAATTTTAAGTTAATTTCATAAGTTTTTTAGGCCAATACGCTCGTGTTTAGAATTCTTTACCATTGAATATAAACTAATTAGAAGACGCGGCGATGTCTAACACTCTCGGACCTGTTTCATTGTAAATGTAGGTTCTTCATTAACATAATTCATAAGGGATACGATGAATAAGTAATTAAGTATTACTGTGGCGATTTGATGACTGCCTTCGCTTAATGAATAAATGTGACCTAATATTGCATTTAGCACGATCTGTCTTGGGTTCGACTACTTGTCTGTAAATAAAATCGGTTACTGAAACGGATACAATACTATGTTCGCAACTTGTAACGTGGAAATCGTGTTTGAAAATTATTTTAAACGCCAGGCGTAGTTAAAACATTTTCAAACAAGTTTAACTAATATATAGCGTTTATACCGTTAAATTGATTTATTTAAAGGCTTTTAAAAGGTTAACGACTACCTTTAAAGTGTTAAAAGACATCGTGCACATCACAAAGTTGGAACGCCCTACTTCCATACCCCTAGCTATACTTTTCACGAGACATCATTCGAAGTAGGAATCTTGTGATCTGATATATAACTTTCATTATATGAATCTATCGATAATTTTATCTTCTTGTGTGTTTGGGTTTTGACACAATATTTCAATGAAACCATACTTACGTTAATATATAAGGCTATACGTAGATATTGGGCTTTCAAAAAAAAGTATTAAGGTAACAAGACATTATTGAATCGAGCGGCGAGCGCGTTGATGTTTTCTACTTAAACACAAATTCGATCATAACTAATATTTATGACGAGAATTCAATTTCATATATATGTATATATTAATAAATATGTTTTTATAATGTAGGACAGGGGAACAGGCGTTCACTTAATGGAAGGTGGAAAATGCCATATAACATCTTTACAAGATGCGCAGTCGGCCTATTTTTGCTTTGAATATTTGGATTTAAGAGTATTTTAGATTTGAAATTCGTCGCGATTCGTATCGCTACTAATAATGCAAGTAATGTTACGAAACCAGTGTTTGTAGCGACATCTGCACAGGAATAGCGTAACTACTAAGAGCGCGGCAAATAAAAGTTCTGTAAAAAAACAAGACAACAAAAGCGTTGCGTTGTAACGTTCAATGTTACATGAATAAGTTTGTTATAAAATTGACCAAAATTCACAAATTTACTGTACTGTATGTATTTATCAAACCACTTTATATTTCTATATAAGTCTGGCTATATCTAATTGTGTCTACATCTAATCTCCACGTATCCACACTTCTGTGTCTGTTTTATCGTTCGATTTATTAGCAAGTAGTTATTCACGCTTTTGTATCGATATTGTGTGTATCTGATACTTCGAAGCATAACTTTCGATGTCATAGATTACATTTGAAAAACGTTCAAGCTTTGCTAACACAGGCTTTTTCTTACATACTAAAGACGGTCCCTTCACAAACGCCATAACGACTCCCTCTTAAGCTCATCCGTCCCCTACCACTCACCTGAAGAGGAGGTGTCTAAAGCTGTCTCGCCTCGTAAGAACGTATAGTGGGGTAATAGAAAGGGAACATTCATCAAGTCATTATGGTTATTTATTAGATGTTGCTACAGAATAAATCCTACGATTTAACTTATACAATAATTACTGGTAAAAGGTTGGTAATATTTGTACAGGTCCTTCTACATTATTTAGTTTCAGTTTAACCTTGATTATAGAATAATGATAGAATTATGTAGTTTTGAATTACATAGAATGGACAATTATAGGTCCAATTGGTGGCCAAACGGTGTTGGACTTTCTTTGTAAAATCTAAATGTTATGGAAGTAGAAATATCAAAATTCCGTACGGGCCCCAAGGCCCCAACGGCCTCAAACCTCACACAGACTAAACACCTCAGTGCACATCTGTGCACTGAGGTTTTTAGTCTGTAGATTTCCGAATATCTGAAACTTAAATAGATTGACAGAGCATCTTGCGGCTGGAGTATTTTACCTTTCAAGTTATCGAGTAGACCATTTTCTATCCTCCTACATATTCCAACAAAACATTAATAATTATTAAAAAAGGTAGATAAAAATTATAAACAATAAAATTTATCAGATACCCTCATTGTACAATACATCAATGTGTTCAAATTCATTTGACGACAATCAAATTGAAATGACTGTGAAATTAAAAGATGTGATTTAATGTGTATCGTGATATTTTTTGGTTTGTCATGGAACATTTTGCTTTTAACAAAAAGAACGTAAGTTACTTGTAAAAAAATATTTCACAGTAGATACTGTGAAATATTTTTTGAATACCTCATATTAAAAATGACCAGATGGTCATTTTTAATATGAGGTATTCAAGAATTTTAAAAATGAAATTTAACTATTCAACAATTTTTGTTTGATTATTGGTAACACCAAGGTCATGAGCGTAATTATTAACAAAAATATTCGATGATTATATAAAAAGGAATTCATGAAATTACATGGAAGCGTACGCTCGAAAAGCCAATACTTAAGTCTTATTTACTATAATACATTTATCAAAAAGTTTCTCCTTGTATTTGCAGTTTAACGCAAGACAGACAAATATTGACAGATTTATTTTTTCTCGCGAACACATATTGAATCTTACGAGAACTTGGCGACCGCATTTGATGAAAAACCACTCAAACGATATTTTGGTAAGGTTCATTAACGAATTATCTAATAGAAGTAGTAGCTTTATTCTAATTAAATATGCTAATATTTTAAATTAAATGTAATATTATTGCTTACTAAACTCTGTAGCCAAAATTGTGTATAAATTAATGTAGGCTATAGTTAATTTTAATAGAAATACTAATCATATTAATACGTTATGTGGTATATTTTTATTTGGAAAAGTACCTAAAATGTAAATACTATTGTCAGTAACAATTTATTTATATAAGTTAACGCAAATGATACTAGTTCCTTTCTTCTTAATTACCATAATTATATTTGATCGCCTCCTTATCACAATGTTAAAAGTTTGTGGGTTTTAATATCAGGAAATGATTTTAATTGAGCATTGTAAAAATCCTAATTTCTCTCGTGCTGCTAAATAGAATGTAGCAGTGAAACGGACACAGAAGTATGTCCATGTCCTATTTCAGGGATTAACTATATGTAAAACCACTCGTTTGATTTAGTCGTTTCAGGCACCTAAACCCTGGAATCAAAGGATATATATAAGCCGTTTGAACAAAGTCTTCGGAATCGAAGAACCAAACATCGATCACACATTAAAGCCGTGGCCATGCAAACCCAGGAAGAGAAGCTGTCTATCATCAGCTGATTTCGTCCTTGACTTACCTACGCTTAACTACTCTAATGGTATGAATTTATTTAAAGAAATGAGTACTTAACCATTAACCTTGACCATTTCGATTTAATTATGTATTTACAGACACTTATTTTCTATAACTAATTTTTCAATAACAGAGAAGGATATACAAGCGTAGGAATCACTTGATGGAAGGTGAAGCCTGGAGTTGAGGTTTTAGACACTTGGAAATCCAAGCTGAAATCGAGATGGAGATTCATCATCATCCACCTATTTAGTATCTTAGTTGCCCAGACGAAGTAGAACAACAATTCCGAAGTCGGGCAGTTAAAATAAGTTTAACGAATATATATCGCATTTTAAACCGTTAAACTGTTGCCTTAAAATGTGTACTCGCGTAAACTACAGACAGTAGTAATATAGTAAACAATAATTAAATTTCAGTTCCAGAAATACTAGACTGGAGTTGTAATGACTTTCTGGTGGCGGCACTCGGAAATGGTTACCACATGTGGGACTGGGGAAGCCAGACGGTTTCTGGTAAAGGCTATTCCATTCACAATTTTAACTCCTGCAAGTTTGATCCGCGAGGAGAACTACTCTTGGTAAGTATAGTTTATGTATGTTTTATTATTAAGAATATTATTTTTATTTCATAAATTAATATTTCTTATTTAGTTGGCGCCTACAAACCAAAATATCACAATAGAATTCCAATTCAATTGGGCAAATTATGAAAATCTAATGATACAAATAATTTTGTTGCCACGTGCCACTACTGCCTCTTTCAAAAATAAATATAAAGGATTAGATGTCTCATTTTGGGTCTTATAATTTAATAATGTTTGTGTTAGTTTGTAATTGTAATGTATTATGATTAATTCAATGATTTTCTTAAGCTGCAAAGCATAAGTCGTTGAACCTTAATGCGCAAGTGTTAAGGTTGAAATTACATTGCGCAATAGGTGCCTGTTTTAATACGTTAAAAAATTCGACGATGAGGAGGAGCCCCATTAATAAGAGCTGTGTATTTCGGTTTGAGTCCCGCCCGTGTCGTAATTTTTTTTTTAACCTAAATAGATCTTTAATACATTAGAATTAATGTTTATTTTATATTTACTATTATTTTATATCTGCGCTATATTATTTGTTTTATGTAGCAATATGTTTTTTTTTCCTAAATAAATAAGTCGAGCAGTATGGTTGGTGGTAGCGGGTTCAAGGCCTATGTGTCAGAGCATTGGGTTTATAAGTTGTTATGTCGAAATTATAACGATGTATGTTATTTTGTTTCAGCTAGGGACTGATATGAAAGAAATTGAGGTGCATGACAATACGATAAATAAGCGCATTTCGCTGGGGACTTGTGTCTGTCCCAAACGGTACTGTTCTATCATGTCTTTGGACTGGAGTTCGACAGGCAATTCCTATATAACGTTGAGTAATAAATTAAAATAACTTACCTACGTAACATGCAAGTATACTGAGATATTGCAAATAATTATTAGATGAAACACTTCACTAAAATATGCCTTCGCAAAATGCAGTTCATTACTATACAACATATAGGTCAACCTTTAAACAATAGAATACACGATTTTAATCTAATCTTCTGTAACTATTTCTTTAATACTTTGGCACCATACTATGTTGTCTATAGCTAACGCCAGTAGTACACATTTAAATAAAACATTTTAACGCCTTATTATTACAGTGGCTGTACAAGGGGAATGGTAGCGTCGTTCACTCGTAAATCGGAATTGATAAGTCACTTCCGGAAAGTCCCGGGACGACGCGGCCTCGCGATCCATTCCGTCCGGATATCACCAGACGCCCAGTTCGCTGCCATCACCACTCTGTACTCGAAAGAAGTTCTAATAGTTACCTGGCCGTACCTGAAACCGTTTCATGTCTTCGAGTTCGAAGACTCTTTTACTACGGTGAGATTATTGGCCACACCTTCTTAAACTTCCTAGTCATATTCCTTTTCAAGCAAGGAGTTTGGAGCAGAGAATAAATATACACGATAACAATAAGATGTACTTCTAAATTTAGAAGATCTTCTTTGGCTAAATCTATACTATTGCTAAATGAAACTGTTAAACTTCTAAGACCGAATTAAAAATCAATTTTAGATTGAAATACGTGAAGTGGAATTCACAGCGTTCCGTGCTGCTGCTAAGCAACCTACCGTAGCACGGATCGCCGTGTATGCCGGTTCACGTCCTGCCCATGTCTGTTTCTTTCAATCTAAAATCGATTTTTAATTTATATAGTGCCATCATATGCAATAACATTTTAACACCAATAATTCTAACACCAATTCAACAATAATGGTTGTATTTGAAGGTTGTAATTAATTTAACAGTGAAATTAGTAACAAAGGTTAGTTTATTATTATTATTTTCTTTCGGGGACACCTGTGGTAGGACGGGTGATCAGTCCACATTATCAGCTGACCATTTCACCCATTTCCCCATAAAGGTTAGTTTAGTAAGTTTTTAATAAGAACATTGGCATTTTATCCCGAATATAATAAAACTTACTTTTAATTGCAATAAACATTATTTATTGCAATTACGGTCTAAGGCTCTAAGCCAATGACATTACATGACCACAGGTAATATTTAGAATGCAACTAAAAATAATTATTATTACTTAATCCCTTTCAGACTATAACTTGGCACCCCTGGCGAAATTGTCTCCTAGGGCGGGGCGCAGTGACCAAGTGTAAGCAGGCTCACGTGTCCATGTGCTTTCCGCCCAGCGGGAAAATCGAAGAGGCGGTTCTCCCCGGCAGCGGATACAGCCTGGATACAATGTTGTTTAGTGACACTACTGGCGAACTCGCCATTAGTCTTTACGATAGAGGTGTGTACTACTACGAAACCAGTATTTGTTGAAAACTGTATATGTTGACTAGCTGTGTCAGCTACTTCATCCGCAAGAATCATTATTTTGAGCGCCCAATTTCGTTTTTGACAAACCCCGTTATCTTTATAAACTTAAGCTGTTCCACGACGTCCGCGTGTTCTTGCAAGTTATCTTATATGATTTAAATAAAACACTTTAACGGTTTAAAACGCGATATATTAGTTATAAAGTTAAGTAGTTAGTAGTTTTAACTAATATATCGCGTTTTAAACCGTTAAAGTGTTTTATTTAAATGTGTACTACTCGCGTAAACTATAGACAGTATTTATCTTATATCATTTAAAAAGGAATCATTCTTTCATACATATCTTTAGGTATCTTGAACCGTTTTTCCCATATTTTTTTCTATATATCTCGCTGTATATTCACTTGTATTAGTCACAGGGCAATGTTTTAAAACTTTTTACTGCCGTTTTAACAAATGCACAGTAAACCACCAGTCCAGTTGTGTTGCCGAATGACTCAGCAGCGCTGGTTTTCGGACTGGCCCGCGTAGATGAAAAGGCAGTTAAGTTCAAACAAATTTCGCTTTAAGACTGTGGATTTCGGAATATACATAGGCAGAATAGGTCGATTAATATTTAAGTTTATTTACGATTTATGGTTATAACCTTCCAGCTGTGCTTGTCTGTCCTTCTCTATAATAAAAACATAGATACATATATTGCAAGCTAAGAATACATTCGTTATTTAGGAATAAAAATAAACAACTACGAAAAATGTAAGCACAAAGTAAATATAATTGTGTACAAAAATAACTTAATTCAACTTGTATTAGTAAGATTGTTGTGTAGCACAGGTGCCACCCACCTGTGTTCGCAGTAGCAACTCAAACTAACAACGTTATTACCTTATCGTAATTACATAATTTTCTTCGTGTCTACATTATAAGTGGAGTACTCGAAACAAGAGGTCAAAGTAATGAAATAATCGCGTGATATTTCGCCGGGGGCTAAGCAAACAGTAATTAGTAAGCCGTTTTGGGTGGTCTCCTTTAAAAGTAGATTAGTAATATAACTATTTTTAAAGTAGAAACTAATTTGACGTTGTTCTAGCAAGCCTGTTTTTAGTACAGCCTATATAGTTAAGCTAATCATTCAAATGCTACACTGCTTTTTAGCTTTTGAAGTCTATACTAATATTATAAAAGTGAAGAGTTTGTTTGTTTGTTTGAACGCGCTTGCAGGAACTACTGAATTGTATAGAAAAATTCTTTTCGTGTTTGTTGGACAAGAAAGGCTTTAGGCTAAAAACGTCGGACTACGTCTAATAGAAGCGGAGAAACAAAGAGGAATGTGGACAATTTGGGGGAATTATTCATCTTTGGGAGCGTTCATTACCGATAACATGTACCATAGAATAATTTGTCTCTAAATTAACTAAAATAATGTCTACGACAGTATATGTCTATCGTTTAAGATTAACACAAATACAAATACAAATTCTATATTCACCAAAACTGTGTACATATCATTATAGGGTGTGCTAGCCCCCACACTAGGATTCCCTGTGTCGTGGGCGGCTAGACTCTTCCGGTGCATTTCGAGAAAAACAATGAAAAACTTAGTATCTACTATGTACTTATAAAGTTAATATATGCTATTTAATTAAAGTTATTATATAAGTATTTAAATAATAAAAAAATTAACTTAAAAATATGGATAACATTTTGTCATGCAATTACCTTAATACAGTTTTCTGTTTGAGTATAATTTAATTTTAGAAGAAACACTTAAATTTTATTTAATTGGGAAGAATAAGAAGTAAGTGGGCTAATTATATTTTTATTAATAAATAAGTTAAGCAGGAAGGGACCTTTAAAAGTAAAAAATCGTTGGGCAAAAGAGGTGTGTTTGAGCGGAGTTCGGAATTGGACTTTTCGTTGTGTTAAAGATGTTTGTTCGGATGTTTTAGATTGTGATGGCGTTTTGAGTTGGCGACGACAAGTTGATATAATATACAGTTGCCTAACCGTCAGGAGATTACATTCTTTGTATAATCCTGAAGTCGGATGCCGAAACGGTTTTCTAAGGGAAATACGTAACAACTAGTCATTAATAATTTTTTTTTTGTTGTCAAAAAAAGTATTTGAATTTTCTTTCCTAATTGTTACTATTGGATAAAAAGATTTACAAAATTCTGTATGAGTGCTTACTAAGATTTTTTGGGAACCCCTGTATTTTAATGAATTAAAACACTTGTTTCAGATAAGGGGCTGCTTCACCCAAAATCCAGCTCTTCTTTATTGGTTATGAGTGATATGAAGACCGTAGTTGACTTATGGAAGGACGAGGGCAGGATTGAGCTCAATCGGGTAGTGACCATGATTTTCAGTCCTGATGGAACTAAGCTTGGTAATTTAGTCACTAGATGGTGCTTTTTTCAATCCTTCTATTTCGTAGGTTTTTACTAAGTTCAGAAGTGGTTTTTCGTTTTGTTACATGAAGAATATATTATAATGTGTATAATATTTTTTTATATAGCAATTGCGGCCATTTTTAAAGTGATTAAGTTATTTATTGGCTACGTAATTATTACGACTGAGCAACTCAAAAACGTAACTAGATTAAGGTCATTGTATCAAATGTTATTTTTAATTTAAACTTTTTAATATTCATCTTAACGATATCATGAGATCTAATTCTTAAGTAATATTTAACTAATCTAATACTAATGATTAAAGATATTTTCAACTGAGTTGTCTTTTTTAGCGACAGCAACCTCTGGTGAGGACCTGATCATCTGGAACTTTCTTCCTGAAACCAAACAAAAGGAGAAACCGAGAAGAAAGTACAATTTCTCTGCCATACCTGTATATATGGACGCATTGACTCACAAACGCGTGTTACGTTGAGTTATGCAATTCGTAAGCGCCGGAGTATTCGCTTTATATTATCTGTACTTTTAAATAAAACACTTTAACGGTTTAAAACGCGATGTATTAGTTAAACTTATTTGAAAATTATTTTTAACTTCGGCCCGACTAATATATCGCGTTTTAAACCGTTAAAGTGTTTTATTTAAATGTGTACTACTCGCGTAAACTATAGTCAATATTTTATCTGTACTTATAATAAATACGAATTTTAACGGTTTTAAATTATTTTTATTATTTTTTAAAATAAACTAAAGAACCGTGTTTGTTTGTTGAAATATACTAATATTAACGTGTTGCATTACGCTAAGCACAAGAGGTTCAAAACTTGAATCCCGGGATAACAAATTGCGTCGGTCGGACAGGACACAGATGTTTGGACAGCAAATACACAGAAATGTGTTTGTTTCTGCAAAGTAGCGTAGCTACTGCAGCCCCCGTCTTCAGTATAAGGGGGGGATGTTGTTGTTATTCATAATGATTATAATTTTGCACATCGTTCTACAATAAATAAAACTTAATACTTATATACTGTTTTTTTTTATCAAAGCAAAAACGACTAGTTTCTTCTTTATTTTGGCAACTAAACCATCTTACCTTAGGACACCTACTTGAAATCTAATGTAGCGCCAACCCTAGCAATCTTTCAATCGAACAAATACCTTCATAGATGATATCTTTAAGACCACAACTTCATCCGCAAAGCTGCAAAGGTCTAATTTATACCCTCATTGTCCACACCAAGTGAATGCTATTCAATAATTTTGTGCCAGCCCTGGACGACGAGATCCAAGATATATCTCGTAAAGTTGAAAAACTGTAAATCTTTACACAATATATCTATGCTAGCTACAATCCGTGGCTTCGTTCACGTTGCATTTTGATAAATATGAAATAAGACAACGGTAGAAATAACGATTTCTCTTTCAGAAATACGAATACATACATATATATAAGTTTGCATGCTTTTGAAACCGCGTTTACGCCGGAAAAAAAAACTGAAATACCATTTCCTTACGTGGGGCATAGGGCCAACACATTTCTGAGACTGAATTTATGAGCACGAGCAAGTTTATGAGCACATTAATCATTAAGATTCTTCTTTTAACAAACACATAGCCTAAAAAAATATTAAAAAATACCTATAACTACGATAGAGGTGGGTACAGAGGAAGAGTATACATATGACATACGAGTACTTATGAAAAATATCTAATTGCTTAGCATGTACTGTCATACCAAAGGACATATACAAAAGTATACAATATTATCAAATAATAACTATTTTTCTAAAGTGGGATGTTTGTGAAACAAACTCACAATTTACATGTAATGAATTTTTAAAAGGTTTACATTAAAAATACTTTGAGCCACTGGAGTATATACTAAACTAATGAACTACCTCTAATTTACTTAGTAAAACCTACAATTTCATGGTAAAATAAATAATAATCCTAAAAATTAATTTACATAAATGGACAGATTCAAATTTCTTTACTTTGACATTTACATAAGGATGGGATGTAAGCAAAGTCAACGACGATAGACGATAGAACACGTTTGCTAAAAAGCGTTACATCGAGTTAAATAATAATAAAGTAAAGAAATAGGAAGAAGATAATAAAGAAAAATGGTCGTCATGAAAGTGATTTTAAATATTGAAACCGTTCAATATATAATCGATATTTCTTTATTCTTGCTTTTAGAAATCCGTCCTTAGATAAAAAGCTATATTGTAACGCGGGTACCACTGGTGTGCCATTAGTATAGAGGTCTAATATAATACGAATATTGGACCTCAATATAGGCGGACGTGAAATCGAACCCCCGACCGAAATGCAAAGCCGGCGTTAGTTGAATGCCATTAGGCACTTCATTAAAGTTGCAAAAAATACATTCAACATTTAAATGAACTAGCGTCCGTGTATAATATCATTGTGCTTGTTTATCGTTAGTTTTTAAATTAATTTTTCTCAACCTTCAACCAGGTGATGCACCAACTGCTTTTACGAACGAGAAGGCTAATACTATATCAGCCGTTGAAATTATTTTTTGCTGTCAATTACATAGAGAAATTTTGTTTCCTATGTTTTCATTTTGTGTTATGTTCTTTATTTTGTTCGGAAAAGATATAACAGTGTTTCATATAGATGATTTAAATTTTTGTTTAAAACATGAAATCTTTTAGTTAAACTTAATTACACCACGTGACCACGCAAAGCATCCGTAGCTGTAGACTAAAAAACTAGTGAATAAGATTAACTAATCAATTTGTCGTTTTAAACCGTTATAAAATATGTATTTAATTGTGTACTACGGGTGTGTGTACGCGTAAACAATAGACAGTATTTTATAAAAGCAATTTAAAAACGGAACTGAAACAAGGTACATGTTCAGCTTTACAAACACCATTGATAATTTAACCCGTTAAAATTGTTTTATATAGTGTGCCACTCGCCTAAAAAAACTATTAAAATAACATGTCTATTAATGGATGTTACTTAAAACACGTAAGACCCAAGCGCAGTATATTAAGTGAGACTTATCTCTTCATCTTAACAGGATTGCCCTTATATAAACAAAGTGTAAAGTTATTTGCATAGAATCAAACAAACAACATCAACATATGGCTAATGTCTATTTTTAATTTCGACTAACAACTTAATAGCAATGTGCGGTAAATTGCTTCCCGTTCCACTAATCGTATGATTAACGTGACCTTTATATAAATATATGAAATAAACGTGTTAAAGTTAATAGTTAACGCAATTATGTGATAAACCTATAACGTCGCTCCACGCGAACGCGGTCGTAATTTAACGGAATATAGAAGGAAATTCTCTAAAAGAGGAGGAAAGCTTGGAAAAATGGAAAGAGTGAAGTACCCTAGCTAAATAACATCTAAACCCGATGTGCTGTCGGCCTATATTCGAAAATCGACTGATTGAAACCGAAACGAGATTAAACTGCACTTATCTGTGGACAGTGTATCCTGACCAGGACGGTATTCCAATACCGCCTATTCAATATCCATGGTTCCAGACAAAGTGTAACAGGTTTGACCGACCCGTTAATTATTAGCTATACATTACCATTATACCAACGAAGCCATCAATACAAACAATTAATTTTAACACATTCAAAGAATTACTGGCGGTTACTTACTTTGGTTACTTAGTTTATGATTAAAACTATCTTTTTAAACGGATTTAAACGGCACATTTGAGCTTTTAATTCACATTTAAGTTACATGAAGGGGAGAGCATTACAAAAATCAACAAAATTAAGTTGTGATAGTTATTAACTACAAGATGTAAAATCTTACGTACTGACTTAAAATAAAAGACGGCCTTATCGCTGAGCGATCTCTTCCAACCTGAAGTACCTACAGGAGAAAAGACAAAATATATTTATATTGGACTAATGATGCGTAAGAATTCGAGAATAAAAACAAATTTTTCACTTATTCTGCAGACGCAAATAAACCTCTTATACTGTACTTGAACATGGAACTTAAATAACTTAATGAAGTCTCCTATAGAAAGAAGCGGCATTAGTCCCACTCCAATATAACAGTTGTTCATTCATTTATTTTATTATTCTCTTATCTATTGATGTATGTACGTAATGGCTTAACAAATAAAAACTGAAAGTGAAAGATGACGGTTGCATGTTTTTATTACAATAGATAATGGTTACGGATATAACCCTTCATGACATTTACAGTTTTAGCACTTTTGCATATCGGGTTGTTGGTCTAACGGTAGCATATATGTACATATAACGGTTCGTGAGTTCGACTTTTACAGGATCCTACATCAATCAGTCAATTTTTTAATTTCTCTGAAACATTTGAAAACTTTAACTTCTTTAAATAAAACACTTTAAGGGTTTAATACGCGATATATTAGTTAAACTTATTTGAAAATGATTTTTAAGTGACCACGGCTGCTGCAAAGCATCCGAAACGTCGGGCCGAAGTTAAAAATCATTTTCAAATAAGTTTAACTAATATATCGCGTTTAAACCGTTAAAGTGTTTTATTTAAATTTGTACTACTCGCGTAAACTATAGACAGTGTTTAACTTTAATATCTTTTACGTGATGGCACTATATAAAAAAAACTTATGTAAAGAGTACGGAACGCTGTAGATGCCGACTCAAGTCCTGCCCGTGTCGTAAAATTTTTCAATTCATATTCGATTCTTAATTTTCTGAAACATGTTAGATTTTCTTTTGAAAAAATCGGGATATGGATTAGATAGGAATATCGAAGTTCCAACCGGGTCCCTAAAAAGCCGTAAATAATTCTTGCGTTTCAATATCTCAATCAAAAGAAGCCGACTAAGCATTTTTACTAGATGTTAGCCTTCTAGTTAAACTTGAAATACAAATACTAAATAAAACATAATCCTAGTATTGTCGTAAACCATGCAGTAGTTTACGCAAGTACAATTCTAAATAAAACAATTTTAACCATCGTAGTTCAAATTCATCAAAATAATTTTAACTAATACATTTCGGTTATATTGTTTTATTTTCAAAATCATAATAAGTTTATCATTAAAGAGACAGTTTTCTTAATGTGCTTTAAGTTACCTTAAAGCACATTAAGTGTAATATAGAGATCTAGATAGATCTAGATCTCTATATTACAACAAAATGACCAACAACAATATGGTAAGGTGCTTGATAGAACAATGGCTAGATTAGGATATCGCAAAACCCATTCCGTAGGCCATAAGACTAACACATAAGCTAAATCCCATATATATTCAATTATAAAATTAGACACCTCTCTACTAAGAACATTAATATACGATATCATTCTGGGATTAAATAAATATGCACGTATAAAACAAAAAAGGTTTGCAAATATAAAAATGAGGGTAGAATTTTTTTTAATGTTTAGAGTTTAAACTTAAACTAAAAATATATAAGCCGCAGTCTAATAAATAAATCTACTAGAAAGACTTTAG